CAGATGAAGCCTTGTTGTAGGGATCTGCAGATGAAACCTATTGTCGGGATCTGCAGAAGAAACCTTTTTCCCCTCTTGACCAGCAAGGAGAAAGGAAGAGGCGAGCACTCAAGTGTGTTTTCAGGACGGGGATCCGGATGAACTAAACAGCATGCTGTGCAAAACTGTTCAGTGGGAATTCCTCCTTATCCGTCGCCCTGCCCCCCTTTTATTGTTCTCTACTACCTTTGCACTAGTTAACCAGTGACCATTCTAAACACAGGCAGGTAATATCCTGAATACACAAGTATGGTAAACAGAGGGGCCGGTAAACAGAGGCACGTAAATCCTAAATACACAAGCAGGGTAAACATTCCTGAATACAGAGCAGGGTAAACAGAGACAGATAACACTTTAAATACACAAGTAAGTTGATACAATTTACCCAGAGACAGGTAATTATCCTAGATACCGAAGCAGGTTAATGAATCATCCTTTACTGCTGTGTACGTGATTTGCGCGCTTAGCACAATGTCTGCTATAGCCACAGATATATACATTGTAAAAGCATACAATTTCCCCACATTCCCAGTAAAGCTCTTCTTATCATATGTGAATTGAACTTCTTTTGTTCTTTATCCTTTTTATACCATAAATAAGCATGCCAGCCTAATTGCAAATCATGTCCTTACAAGCTAAGTAATCTATCGTTTTCTAGAGTTATCCATTCTTTTATCCAATCTAAAATACAAGATCTATAATACAGAACCCAATCTGGAAGACCAAAGCCGCCCCTCTGCTTATCATCTTGCATTGTCTTAATTTTAATTCTTGGTTTTTTTCCTTGCCATATAAATCTCATGATTATCCTATTGAATTCTTTTAAAAAGGACTGTTTTAGTATAATAGGAATTGCCTGAAATAAAAATAAGATTTTTGGCAAGATGCTCACTCCGCTTCAGATTCCAAAGGGAACTGATGTTGAGCCATAAAAAGCTACAGTTCCCTTCATTTCCTCATAAAAGGACCTGATGATGTTAAGGAGTCGAGGTGGACATCCAGTCTTGGGAGGTATTTTAAAAAGGCCATCCCTGCTAACCAAATCAAAGGCCTTTGTAAGATCTATGAAGGCACAAAGATTGTCTGTCGTTGTTCTCTACATTTCTCCTGCAACTGTCTGAGGGAGAATACCATGTCGGTATTCCAAATCCACACTGTGATTCCGGATAGACTCTGTCTGCAAGCACCTGGAGCCTCTCCAGCACAACACGGGCAAGCAGCTTTCCTACAACGCTGAGAAGAGAGATGCCATGGTAGTTGTTGCAGTCACCCCTGTCTCCTTTGTTCTTGTATAATGTGATGATGTTTGCATCCTTCATGTCCTGTGGACATGAAGGATGCAAACATCTGGACCTTCCCTCCAGCAAAGACATAAGATTTCATACAGCTTGGTGGTGATGATCTATTTACAGCACTTCAGCAGGAATGTTATCCTTTCCAGGTCCCTTGCCAGAGGTGAGGGAATCCAAGCCCACTTTTATTTCTGCTAAAGTTGGTTCGCTGTCCAACTCTTCCAAAACAGGCAAGCAGGTGCAGTCATGTCTACTAGGTGCAGACATAAAAAAAATCTTTATTTTTCTTGGGGATGCCATACAAAGTGCATTACTGTATAAATCATCATGGGGAATAGTAGACTCCTGTGTGACTCTCATTTCCTGTCCAAATCCCTCCCCTTCATTTAGTCAAGCAGTGTGAACTTCATTTAAACACCTCTCTTTTCTTGTTTACAGTTCTCCACCTAAAAAATCTGGCCTGAAAAAGTCTCTGCAATTTGAGGCATATACATTTGATTCTGGACATGAAGGACATAGCTTGGAGAATTTGGAGCTGCCTACACCCTCCTTCAGCAACCTCATAGGCATGGTGGCAGAGACCTCTGAGGACAAATACCGCCTTCTAGACCAAAGAGATAAAATCATGCGGCAAGGTGAGAAGTTATTGAATTCAGATGAAGCTGTTTGAGAGACAGAATAGGTGGTATCTGTCTTACCCACTTTGTCACACACCTTGCTACCACATCAGTATTACTGAAGAGTAATAATGGGAAAATTCTGGAAAATATTGAATTGTAAAATTTAAGGGAAAATTTTCTACTACAGTAAAATTTTATGGGATTTTATTAGCATGTTTATTTCACTAATTAGTAAGCAAACTTGAAAAATGGAATTATTTTATTTGTATGTACCACATAAGTATTAATGAGTTTTTCAGTAACCAGAGGTATTAAAACTCAGATATTTGTTAGGAGGAATATTCACAAATACACTTAATTCAGTTTAGTTAGAATCAGCTGTAGCTAGATATATATAACTTTCCTCTATAAATACCTCCAGCAAATGGGACTTTGTCTGACATAGACTGTTCTACAGCTGAACTACTTTCACTGTTAAGAACTCTCTCTTTGCTGAAGTTTACTGTCCTGCACCATTAAGTTCTAGTATTGCTTTTCAACCATTCATTTTGATCTCTGCCTTTGAAATATATGAAAATTGGTATTATGCATCTCTTTTAGCTTGTCTTTCCAACCTAAACATATATATCTCTTTCAATTGTTATTCAAATGACTTAATTTAAGCTCTCCAACTGTGGTGGAGACTCTTCTCTGGGTGTGTTCCATCTTGTCAGTGTATTGTTCAAAACAAAATTTGCAGTAGTCCAAATGTGATTAAAGCAGAATGGTGATGCACCCTAATGGGTTCATCTGCGCTCGAGCAGAGCATCTTTGGAAACTTTCACAGCCTTAAGCACTTAGTGCTGGGACCTCCCCTACATTGGCTATATAACTCCACCACCCCCACCACCCTGGCATCCAGTGCCTCAGTTCTTTTTTCGACCACCTCTGTAGCAGCAGCTTCGTTCGGAACTTCGGAAGTAAAAAAACCACAATTCTATTCCTTTACTTTCTTTGACCTCTCCTTGTTCTTTCTTCATTAACAAGTTGTTTCTTCTGCCTGGGGGAAGAGCACTAGCCGGCCTTAGGTATTCTTTGTAAAAGATTTACAAAGCCAGCTTTGGAGCCCTCAGGGCTTTTCTCTTAAAGAAATAAGGTGTCTTTTACCTTCTTAGAAAGGTTACCCCCAGGCTCAAGAGCAACAGCTATCCACCTGTTTGCAATCTTCCTCTTCGTGTCAAAAAAAGAAGAGGACAGCATCTCAGTGGCACTTCCCCCCCGCAGGGAGCAGGGACCTATTTCTATGGTCCGCCCTAGAAGGCTACTGGATCTTGTTGGATTCCAAGAGGCCATGAGAGGTGTTGCGGCTGACCTGGCTGGCGCTCCTGTCGAGGCTCTGGTTGACAGCTGGTCCACTGCTGCCACTAGGGTCATAGACATGATCGTGCCTAAACGCCCTCTCCAGCTCAGAACTCGGCCTGCGCCCTGGTTTAACTGGGAGCTCTGAGCAATGAAGCGACATATGAGAAGGCTAGACCGTAGGTGGAGGAAGAACCCGACGGATTATAATTGGACAGCTGTTAGGGTCGCAACTAACCTTTACCTGACTAAGGTAAAGGCTGCATGTCGATCATTCTTCACTAACCGGATAAGCGAAGCGTCAAATCAGCAGGCGGAGTTGTTCCGTATAGTGCACGACCTATCTGGAACTGGTTCAGGTGATAGGCCTCCCCCTAGTTTTTCACCTGACCAGTTTGCAGCCTTTTAAAAAAGCAAAGTGGAGGCCATCCGCCGGGAGCTCTCTCCTTTTTTGAATACAGTGAGTCGAGCAGAGATGTCCAGTGCTCCGCCTTGCCCGGTTACTTTCGACTCTTTTCAGCTTGTCACGCCTGATTCTGTTGCCAAGGTGCTTGGTCGCTGCCGGGCCACCTCCTCCTCCCTTGACCCTTGCCCGGCCTGGCTAATCAAAGCAGCCAGGCCGGTAACAACAAAATGGGCCACAGCAATAATAAATGGGTCTTTCCTTGAGCATACACTCATTAGGCCCATAAGAAAGAAACTTAATATGGCGGCGGACGAAATTATCAGCCTGTTGCCAATGTTTCTTTCATGAGCAAAGTGGTTGAGAGGGTGGTGGCTGATCAGCTTCAAGCATACTTGGACGAAACAGATGCCCTGGATCAGTTTCAATCGGGCTTCAGGCTGCGCCACGGTACAGAGACGGCATTGGTCACCCTGTATGATGACCTGTTGAGGGAGGCAGACAGGAGCAAAATGTCCCTGTTGGTCCTCCTCGACATCTCGGCGGCCTTTGATACCATCGACCACGGTATCCTCCTAGGGAGGCTCTCCGAGCTGGGAATTGGTGGCTCGGCACTTGCCTGGCTCCGTTCCTTCTTGGGGGACTGTCCCCAGAGAGTGCAGCTTGGGGAGAATGTCTCGGCCCCGTGGAGTCTCAACTGTGGGGTTCCACAGGGGTTGATCATCTCCCCGATGCTGTTTAACATCTATATGAGGCCGCTGGGAGGGGTCATCTGGGGGTGTGGCGCTTCGTGTCATCAATATGCTGATGACACCCAGCTCTACATCTCCTTTTCACCAACTGCAGGTGATGCCGTCCTGTCCCTCCAGCATTGCCTGGGGACCATACTGCAATGGATGCAGGAGAATGGGCTGAGGCTGAACCCGGCCAAGACAGACGTTCTGAGGGTGGGCGGCCCCGTGGTTGGTGGCTTGGGTGACTCTCACATTTGGGGGGGGGTGACCCTGGCTGCGAAGAGTGGGGTCCGCAGCTTGGGCATATACTTAGACCTGACGCTCACCATGGAAATGCAGGTGGCATCAGTAGTCCGCACCACCTTTTTCCATCTTTGGTGGATTGCCCAGCTGCGGCCCTACCTCGACACGGGGGCACTCACTACCTTGGTGCATGCGCTCGTAATCTCAAGATTAGACCACTGTAACACGCTCTACGTGGGGCTGCCTTTGAGGCTGATGCGGAAACTTCAGGTGGGGCAGAATGTGGTGGCCAGACTCCTCACTGGAGTGAGAAAATACCAACACATTTCTCCAACTCTGGCCGCACTGCATTGGCTGCCCATTCATTTCCGCGTCGACTTCAAAGTCTTAATGCTTACTTACAAGGCCCTAAATGGTTTAGGAGCTCGATATTTGGTGGAACGCCTGCTTCCACCAAAGTCTACCGCATCACCCGTGCAAGTCAGGAGATGAGGCTGAGGAGCCTGACGCCGAGATAGGCCCGGAAGGAGAAGACACGAAACTGGGCCTTCTCAGCGGTGGCTCCTAGCCTCTGGAATAACCTCCCTTCGGAGATTCACGCGGCCCCTATGCTGGGCTTCTTTAAAACCCAATTAAAAACTTGGTTGTACATCCAGGCCTTCCCTCCAGCTAATTCCTGACTTTTCTTTCTAACTCTTTTCTACTTTATTCTATTTTATTATAATTGTTATTGAATGATAATGTACATTTTTGTGTTTTATTGTTTTATCTTGTATTGGAAGCCACCTAGAGTGGTCCGGTGGTCCAGATAGGTGGGATATAAATCAATCAATCAAACAAACAAACAAATAAATAAATGAATGAATCTGAGCTAACTCTGCAGAGAACTGGGCGCCAGCAGCCCTAGCTTGCCCTTGGAAGAAGAAAGGGCCTCCTGCAGCTCTGGTGGCCATCCCCGCTTGTCAGTGATTCTCCTGACTGGGGTAAAAGCCTCTTTGAGATGTTGGCACGGAACAGCCCTCTTGCATCATGGGCTCGTTCATACAGCTCCTAATTCCGGAGATGTCATGAGTGCAGCTGAAGATCTGGAACCTGAAGGGTTAACTGTGACTGAGGAGAATGCTGACCAGTTAGAAATACAAACACCTGAATCGCCTTCAGATTCTCCTTTCCCAGTAGACAGGCTGGGGCTGATGGCATCTACCACAGCTGTGGAACAACATGCTCAACTGAGGATGCAGTCCCTTCAAGCCTGGTTTCTCTCACTCTTTGAGATATCTTGCAACCACCCATCCACATTGCTCCAGGTGACACTGGAACTCACTGCACAACTGGACTGGTGGAGATCCCCCCCAACCTACAGGTGGGGAGACCCTTTGGTCTCTTGACCTGGTTGGTTCAGTCAGTGGTAGATGCCAGCCCGCCAGGCTGGGGAGGCTTGTCTGTGCCACCATGTTGCCCTTGGCCGCTGGTCCACGATAGTAGCCAGCATGCATATCATTGTGCTGAAGCTCCTGGCACTCATCAAGGCCTTTTGGGCCTCTGAGCCCCTATTCTGGGGTTGGGTGGTCCAGGACACATCAGACAATACCACTGCAGTTTATTATGTAAACAAGCAGGGTGGCACTCACTCGCTATGCCTTCTCTTTCAAACCATCAACATTTCGGAATGGTGTTATGCTCGCCACATTTATCCAGTGGCTGTACATTTGGCAGGCAAGAACAATTCCTTAGCAGACCATCTCAGCAGACTACAGTCCTGCTCTCACAAGCGGTCTCTTAACGACACTGTCTTTTGTCGCCTCTGTCGTTGATGAGGGATTCCAGACATAGACATTTTTGCATCCCGAATGAACAAGATTTGTGCCATGTGCTGCTCCCAAACCGGCATCAGCTACAACTCCCTGGGGGATGCTTTCCTTATGAATTGGTCATGGGGCCTCCTTTACAGGTTTCCACCTTTCCCCCTTCTTCAATGGACTGATGTTCGAGTCCAACAGGAGTGTGTAAACGTCATGCTTGGTCGCTTCGCCAGCCATGGTTCTCAATCCTGCTCCCATGAGCCGCAGAATACATCAGGCTGCAGGTGGTCCCTTAGCTACTATCTTGGGACAAGGGTCAGATATTTCATCTGGACCTCAAGTCCCTCTACCTGTCAGCTTGGAGTCTTCCTCGACAGTAACAGGACGTGCTCAGTCATTCTCTCAAACCTTCTACCACCTTGACCTACTCCTATAATTGGTAGGTGTTCTGTCACTTTGCATCAAGACTACATTTGCCTACTAGGCCAACATCTCTGGACGCACTCCTTCAGTTTCTCCTCCACCTGTTTCTACCTGCAAGCTCCAAGGCCTGGGGAACATTTGCCCTGCCTATAGACCACTAACATCTCAGTGGTCTCTCCATTTAATTTTTCGGTGGCTTATGAGGCCTCCCTTTAAGCCCTTGACATCAGCATCATCCCGCTTGCCAGCCCTCAAGACTGCCTTTCTCCTGGTGATATCCTTAGCTTGCTGGGCTGGAGGACTGGCTACACTAAGAGCAGGCCCTCCTTTCTACAAACTAACCTTACGGCCAGACCTTACCTTCCTGCCTAAGGTATTTTCTGCCTTCCATTTGAATTCACACCTCCCGCCCTCCTCCCCGCTGTCTGTCACGTGTGCCATTGCATGCTGGGCAGCGGTGGTTGGTTCCTTAGAACTGAGGCACTTGGTGCTGGGGGCCGAGTTATATAGCCGGTGTAGGGGAGATCCCGGCACTAAGTACTTAAAGCTGTGAAAGTTTCCAAGACTGCTCTGCCCAAGCACAGATTAACCTATTAGTGTGAATTCACAGAGGACCACTTGAAGAACCAGAGTTACAGGTAAGTAACTTCTCTTTTTTTTCCAGGAAAATAATTTTTTCAATTTTCATTTATTTATTTATTTATTACCAATTTAAATACGGTAATTTATGGTCTTTTTATCTGTATCTTTTAAATGTTTTGTATGCTGTATTATCACTATTGTGAAAAGACAAGGGAGGGAGGGATGAAAAGCAGGAACTCTGAGAGAAAATGGAAATTGAAATTATGCAGTCAATAGGTTAAAAAGGTCTGATTCAACAGATTGCTTTACCATGTAACACAGTATATGTGAAGAGTGTGATATTTAAAGATGCCAAACCTTAGCGTATGACTAGACAGCTAAATTATCCTAGCTTGGATTTTGCTAAACAAGATCACTTTGAGCTGTGATAAGTCATTTGGGGTGATCCTTGTATCCAGATGCAAGGATTGACCATGCTGCATCTGTGACCTTATTTGGCCCTTAGCAGAATATGTTATGCCATTTAGAAAAATAAAATGGAAAGCTTATTTTCTCCTTCCCCACCCCATGGGGGAGCAGAAGAAAGCTTTCAGTTTCCCATGATTGTGAAGTGCCTTAAGCGAACCACAGAGGAGAATAAGCAAGGTAGATTTTTTTTGTTACTGTATTTTAAATTTCTTTTTCTCTCTCTTTCCCTCCTCTGCTTTGCTATGTCCTCTTCACAGTCATGGGAAATTGAAAGCTTCCATGCACTGCTCAATAAAGTCAGTAGGGAGGTGGGAAGAAGTTTTCATTATTTTTCTAAATGGCATTTTTTTCTAAATGAGCACTGCCTTAGGCCTTTTTAAAAAAACTTTGCTTCCTCTCTCTCCACCTCCACAGGGAAGTGGGAGGAAACTTTCCATTTCCCAAGATCATGAAGTAACTTAAGCAAAAGGACAGCATAAGCCGTCCACTTTGGTTCAGTCACACATAGCGATCCTACCTGCATCCAAAAAACCAAAAAAGTTGCCCCTAACAGGGACCCAGAAAGATGCAGGTGGGTAGAGATCAGAGATGGACACAATGGCTCATGTATCATGTGGACACCAGAAAAAGGAGCTAAGAGCCCTGTCTGGGCACACTGTTGGATATCTCTGTTTCAATAACTATAGAAACTAATTCTTTCACAGGCTGTCAATAGTGTTATTTTTAAATGGGGTATATTGTTTATGTCATGTTTATATTTTTCCTAGTAAGGTACCAAAGAAATCTCCAGGGAGCAGACTATCTGAACTTTGATTTCTTAATATTTCTTTTAGCTCGAGTAAAGCAAATAGATCTTGGCAAAGCGAAAACCTTTGTTGGCACATGCCCAGACATGTGTCCAGAAAAAGAGCGTTACATGAGAGAGACAAGGAACCAGCTTAGTATCTTTGAAGTGATCCCAGGAACTGACAAGGTACTAATGAATGAACATTTTCTATGTCAAAGCATCACTAAGTGAGATGCGATCTAAGAACAGAATTATTGGATGTGATGTGGTTTTGCAGTTCAGGCATGGCTCAGAAGATCCAAGTTCTCTTCCTTCTGTCCTGGAGTTCCCTAAATTATTGAATTATAATTATATGTCCATTTTCTTGCTTCTTCATGGCCTCTGTAAATCACATTCTGGGTGATCCGCGCATGTGTGGAGCCTCGTCGGAATATTCTAGAGCTTCTGCAATCAGAAAAGATATATTAGTACAAGCCCCTTCCCCCCTAGTATATGTAGTCTGGTGCCAAGGCTTTCCCTTCAGTTTCTTTTCAACCACCGCACTGATAGCCTCACTCATAACTTCTGTGAGTCTTTTCTCTTAAAAAAGAAAAGAAAAACCCTTATTGTTTTTATCTTACATTCTTGTTTTTTTTACCCTTTCACTGTTGGCTTCAGCCTTTCGGCCGGAGCTCCCCCCTCCCTGTCTTCAGTTCATGGCCTCAACATTGTGTGGTCTGCAGCAATAAGATCGTTCTTTCCGACGGCCACGCTAAGTGCCTATTTTGTCTTGGAGAGACTGATCAAACCTCTTCCTGCCTCCATGGTAAGAGCTTCAGGCATGGGTTTCCACACAGTCACCCTTTCAGGCTTAAGCTTCAACTTTGGGAACAATCCCTCCATCCAGGCAAACCTATGGCACAACCAACGTACAAGTTCATGCCTCAAGGACAAGGCCATTTCCTTTTTTTTTCTGCTTTTGATATTTATTTATTTTTTTATTCACACAGAAACAAAAAACAAGACAAATAAAAACAAGAAAAAAAGAAAGGAAAAAAAGGAAAAAGAACTAACACCTAAGACTAACCCCACCCCCCTTTGGAGTCCGAGACTCCAGCTTCGTTAACCCATCTGCTCCCCCAACTTCATTTCCAGTATGTGCTAAGTAGATATACATACATACATAGATCATAAACTTTGCCCTACACTCCTGTCTTCTTCTGGGCCCAAGAATATATGAGGTCCCCGCTTTGTTTTACATAGTCTCTTGGTTGTTCCCGTAGTGCTTCTGATAGAGTGTCCAGTTCTGCTATATCCCATAGCTTCTTTAACAGCTCTTCTATCGCTGGAACCTCTTCGGTTTTCCATTTTTGGGCCCAGAGTAGTCTAGCTGCTGTGAGTATATATATATAAGACAATGCTTCAGTTTATTATCATTAATGCCTGATATGACATTCAATAATGCCATTTCAGGTTTTATATCTAATTTCTGCTGGGTAATTTCTTTTGCTACATCCCATACCTGTGTCCAATAATTTTTGACCTTTTCGCATGTCCACCACATATGATAATAAGTTCCTGCATTCTTTTTACACTTCCAGCATATATTGCTGTTACCCTCTGATATTTTTGCTAATCTTACAGGTGTGTAATGCCATCTGTAGAACATTTTAAGGGTATTTTCTCTAAGATGTGCTGGTTTAAGCATCTTATAGCTTTCTTTCCACATCTTAGTCCAATCATCAAGATCCACACTGTATCCAAA